AAGGAAGGAAGGAAAGAAAGGAAGGAAGGAAGGAAGGAAGGAAGGAAGGAAGGAAGGAAGGAAGGAAGGAAGGAAGGAAGGAAGGAAAAAAATGTATGTGGGAGAGCTCTAGTGAAGCAAACCATTTTTCCAGAGGAAAAGAGAACAGTTAATATCAAAATCCAAAGAAGGTAGAGATTACTTCTCCATAACTTTGGAGAATGTGGGCAAGATTAAAATCTGGTATTGCTATTTCAGGAATTTAGCTTTATGTTAAGTAAAGGAGAGCCTACAGGCGTTTGAACTCATTACTTCTCTGGAAGTCCCAATACCTTGGCCAGCTTCACAAAATATTTCTCCCCACAGTGATGGGTAGCTTGGAAAAAGTACTGTGTATATAAATAAAATTTCGAACTTTTCTCCAAGGCTGCCTGTAGTGTAATGATAGTTTCCCTTCCCCAAGCATGGGAAGCGGAGACTCAGGTATACCTACAAATGTTTAACTGACTACCCCAAATTCACTTGTGTAGCTCAAATACATAGAGGAAAAAGAACTTCATTCATCCAATAAAGATTTATTATATGCCTTTTATGGGCCAAGCACGTTCTAAGAATTAGGAATACTGCAGTGAATGCGACAGACAAAAATCCCTGCATTCAAATAGCTGACATTACAGAGTTGAAAAGAACAGTGACCCTGGGACAGGATAAATTCTACGGCCAAATAGTGGAGTTGGCTGCTTGGGTTTAAATCCTGGTTGTTCCCAATGGGCAAGTTACTTAGTTTCTCTCAGGTTCTGTTCCTGTATCTGTGAGTTAGTACCTGCATTGTAATGTTCCTTCAGGATTAATGATTTAATATATACTACACTATTTCACATGGTGCCTGATATAGAGTAAGTACTCAATGAGTATTAGCAATGATTTATCGCTTGGTGAGACACTCATTTACTAAATTGCTTAAGCCAAAATCATGGGGCAAACTTGACACCTGACTACCTTGATTCCTACATTCTATCAGTTTTATTTCTTAAGCATGTGCACAGATTTTTGTTCTCACTTGCCATTATCTTAACAGGCTGACACTTCTAGACTTGATTCTAGAATGAACTTGCCAAGGGGGCTCCTGCCTCTAGCTTTCTTCTCCCAGACATTCTTCCCCCTTGGGCAAATATTTGACATCATTTCCCTGATTGAAATCCTCCTGGAATGCTCCTTTCATCCATGACTCTCCCTTGCTTATAAACTCTTTAGCATAAGACCTTTGCAATCTGGCCCCCACCTATCACAGGTCACCACACGCCCGCCTTGTCCTCTGAGCCTCCACCACACTAACCTTTGGGTAGAGCCGTGCACACACTGTATGAGTTCATAACTCTGTGACTTTGCAAGTGCTCTGAACTATCTGGAGAGCCTCTCTTCCTCTTCTTTGCTGGTGGAGTTTGTGACCTCTGATAGGCTGAATTACTCAGCCAGCCTCCACACCGCTTCTCTCTTACACAATGCCATTTCCCTGAATGCACTCAGTACGTCCTGTGTTGTGATTATATGCACGTGTCTCTCTCCCTAAACAGACTTTAAGCCCTTCGGCAAAAGCAAATGAGTCTCAGTCCCCTTGGTGTATCCAATACGTACTTAGCACAGAGCTTGGCATGTGGTAGGTGAACCGAAGCCTGCTGAAGAACAGTTGCAATGCTGTCGCGATCATTTTGATGTTGCCTGGCGGTCATAATAACATGGTAATTGAACACCTACCCTGTCCAGGCACAGGGCTAAGTGCTTTGAAGGCATTATCTTACTTAATCTTTAAAAAACCCGAGGGGAAAGATAACTGCTATAATTATCACCATTTTACAGATGAGAAAGCTTCAGTTGAGCAGGCTTTGGTAGTTCCCAGGGTCACAGAACGAGGAAATGGTAGGGCAGGAAGTCAAACCCAGGTATGTTGGACTCTAAATCCTGGTGCTTTTCTTCCTGTACGCATTTTGGAAACACCAGAGCAAGAAATAATTTGTCTGTCCTGAAAAATCTCAGGATGTTTGGCAGTGGAATGCATTGATTAAAAGCTCTGGATTCCTACATCCCTGTTTCTATGGCTCACACGTTTGTCATTTCTATTCAAGTCCTGCCTAATAACTCCAACTGGACAGTGTTAACCTTATATGTTTCATATTAGTCAAGATATTTCATTCTAGGTTGCCGGCAAAGATAACATGAGGGATTTTTTCAAATGCATCGTTTTGCAAACTTATTTTAGAGGAAAAACAACCTTATAGAATTGATTCTACATACCCATTCTGGGAAAGTAGAATTTAGCATGAAACGACCACAATTCGTGCTTGCTGTTCTGACAGGAAGTGGTTAGATTCATAGTTCAGCAGATGGCTTCGGAGGCCTGAGTTACTTCTCCCACAATGTCACCCCTGGGGCGTGATCACAGCTAGAAAGAGCAGGCCAGGATTACACACGGCTTCATTCTATTCTTTTCTTAAAGATAAATGTGATTAATAAGGTAATAAATAAATTAAAGCAGCAACAGCTTTTATAACAAAAATGTGTTTTAAAATATCATTGATTTTGGCAACCAGGCGCAAAACAATGTTGGCATATGCTGAAAATAGACAAATTTCCTTTCACAAAGGCAACAACTTTTATTGACTGATTACACATTTAATGTGTTAGAATTTTACAAAGATTCTCACTTCCTGAGCAGAAAAATAACTTGTATTAGCAGATCCTTCATACCATTTAAAAGTTTCAGTTATGAATTACTACATGATGCTGAGGTGCTCTACTATAATCACTTTTTGTTGTTATTATGGAATGATGAAAATGTCTGTTAGGAAAACAGTTTGCTGTTTACACTTGCTTGTAATTTTAAATACTCTGAGAAAGGAGTAAGCAGAGCTGTTGGAAAGGCCCATCATGGGCGCAGCGACCTTTGGAGATTATGTTCTTGACTCAGTCATCTCCTCCACAGATCTTTAAGAGTGTGATTTCATAGTCTCCAGAAGTATCCGACTGTAAGGAATAGGAGAAAAGGACAGATGTAGCATAAATAATGAGGGGACCAAAACTGAATCAAATCCCACAGCTCTAGGAGATTCACTGGGGTGAGATTCATGACCTGGATCATTTAGTAAAATGTACCTGTAATTCCATTATTCATTCATACCTGAGTGTAATTATTTTCCAGAATAGCATCTTCTTTACAATACATAATGTTGAAATTCTTCCTGATTCATTGCAATTAAATTTCAATTTGGGTTTAAGAAAATAAGACTGCATCAATTACATAACATTACATAATATTACTTTCCTAACAAAACTTTAAAAATGATAATTTTAATAATAATATTACATTAATATTCATCAAACACTTGCTCTTCTTTTTTTTTTTTTTTATTTATTTGAGAGAGAGAGAATGAGAGAGAGCACATGAGAGGAGGGAGGGTCAGAGGGAGAAGCAGACTCCCTGCCGAGCAGGGGGCCCGATGCGGGACTTGATCCAGGGACTCCAGGATCATGACCTGAGCCGAAGGCAGTCGCTTAACCAACTGAGCCACCCAGGCGCCCCAAACACTTGCTCTTCTAAGGGTGAACTACTTTAGTCTTACAAGCCTTATAACTCTACACAGAAGGTACCCTAAGTATGTCCATTTAATGAGAAATGAGAAAAACAGAGGTTAGGAAACTTGCTCCAAATCATACAGAGAATAAGCAACAGAGGTAGGATTCAAAGCCAGATAGCCTGGTGCCTTAACACCATACTATACTGCCTGACTTAAGAAACTGAAACAAACTACATTCAGTTCCTTTCCTCTAAGCTAGGCAAAAAACAGCATGGTTCAGAACAGTCACCATGTGAGATTGAGGCCTAATGTAAAAAGATACCATGTTTGGGGGCACCTGGGTGGCTCAGTTGGTTGGGCGACTGCCTTCGGCTCGGGTCATGATCCTGGAGTCCCAGGATCGAGTCCCGCATCAGGCTCCCTGCTCGGCAGGGAGTCTGCTTCTCCCTCTGACCCTCCTCCCTCTCATGTGCTCTCTCTCTCTCTCTCTCTCTCTCAAATAAATAAAATCTTTAAAAAAAACCAAGAACTCAACTAAATGTTTTCTATATACTAATTTTAAATATGAGGACACATATAG